GTGCATTTATAGGGGTGGAGATGAAGAGACAGAATATGAACAGCCACATTCTGCCTAGTAAATGGAATTAAGTAGCCCAAGTCTTGGGAAAAGAGGTGGAAATATCAAGAGAAAATGTGCAAAATTTGAATGCTTGAAGGATTGACGATTAAAAGACGAACGTCAAATAAATGTACAAGAAGTTAACATAGATGTTCATTAATGATGTGCAAGGTTACAAAGGGAAAGTCAAATGCGAAATTATAAAAAGAAAAAGTTAAGGCATTATATGTCTTAATTACAATCCGCCCCATACTGAACGAATTCTTTCCCAAAGTTTTCCCCAGTCCTCGTTCTGCCGAGAGGAAGTGATGTTCAATTCGGCCACAACGTCATCATCAACTTCCAACTTCTTGTACTGCTCGACCAAAGACTTAGTTCACTCAATTTCTTGGGAGGCGTTATGCTTTTTAGCAGCCATTCTCGCTTTGCAGTCTTTCATTTTGGCTTGAAGTTCCTTCATCTGAGCAGCCAAACTAGCCATCAAAGAGTCTTCAATCATGACTTCGGAAGAGATTTCTTTCAACTCGTCCTCAGCTTTGTTGATCTCTTGACGCAAAGACTCTTTTTTAGATACGGCGCGAAAATATTGAGTACTTTTGGCTTTCAGTTCAACATTCTTGGCCAGCAATGAGAGGACCTCGGAATGGATAACTTTCAACGTCACTTTAAATCAGAAGAAAGATTGAGCGACGAAAATGTCAATGCTTGCTCCAACTTCGCATTCAAATGCTCAAACTTATCCTCATGTCTGGCAGCACTAGCCTTACCAATGTCCATATCCATGAAGGACACGTACTCAAATATCGACTGCTTGAGGAACTTCATATCTTCCTCTGAAGAAGTAACAGGACGACCAGATGGAGCAGGGCGAGATGTTTTGACTTGCCCCCAGGAAGCGAACAAGTCTTGGATGAAACGCACAATCTTATCAGCATCCTGCAAAGAAAATTGCCAATACTGAAGATTCTTACTACAACGAATAAGATGGAAATAAAAGTGAAGCAAATATTACCTCATCAATAATCTTGAAAAATGGCATATCCTCAGGCAAGTCTGCCACCTGTGGCTCCACCATTCGCGACGACTTTCCCTTATCTGAGCGAGAAGATGTTGCCACAACGAGCAGACTTATAGGAGCATCTGCAGAACTCAAAAGCAATAAATCAGAAACCAATAGCACAAGCAAAGGTAAAGCATCAAAAAACTGAATTACCTTCTGCTTCGATGTTTGGGGGGTTGACGCGTTGGGAAGAAGGTGACTCATCCATTGGTTATGATGAGGATTCTGGAACTGAAGATGTCTCTTTAAGCGTAGTCCCTTCATCAGCTGGTTTGAATGAAGCAGCCTCAGCGGAGGATGATGGAGCAGGAGCTGCCGATACCAAAACCTTTAAAGGAGAGGCTGAACTTTTCTGAGAAGTCCAAATAAATCATTAGCACACAGAAAAATTTCAAGTATGGAAAAGTATGTTTGTGAGTAAACCAATTTAATTACCTTCCTCCTGATGATAAGAGGGGTATCATCATCATCATCATTAACATCATCCTCCAGATTGGGAGATGCTGAGGCTGGCCGTTTGCAGCTCGGGGCACTTTTGGCTGCAGTAGACTTGGCAGGGAAAAAAGAAGATGGACGAGCAGACTGTTTAGCGCGACGAGGAGGAAAATGACTCCGGATGGACAAAGGGATGACTAAAACAGGAGGAGGGGAAGAAATGCTCGACTGGTCCAGTGAATGAAAGGCACGATTGACATCAGTCGCAAAAAATCCGCACTTCATTGACGGCCAGAGCTGTTCAAAAAGGGGATGGATGACACGACTAGAATTGAATGGGGCTAATGAAAAATGGCTGGTCAAAAGAAGATTGCGAGTATTTATAACCTTTGCCTCCGCCTTATTAATAATATGGAAGCGGTCTATCAAGTTCCTTGAATAGCAAGGAGGAACAGGCCAGGTTTGGCCAAAACCAAGTTGGGGAGCAAAAAATTGGGGAGCATATATTTCTACCCCTGTCTTGGCATTGGTCCCAGTCAAAATATCATGAAATAACTCCCTCCAGGTTAAAAACTGGATCCAAATGAGCAGAGAGGTGCTCGCGCTGTCTATAGTGGAGGGAGGATGCTCATAGTCTGGAGTCAAAAATGGAGGAAAAGGAAAGAAAGAAGGGATTGAATTCAAAGAATAAAAGAATGAAAAAATGTCCTTTCTAAACATATTTACAGGAGCCAGGGGCTCAATGGCTAGCCCATAACAGTTAGCAGAAGGACGAGAAATTGATGGAGCACCAGGCAATGGAAAATAGGATCTCAACCACATTTGAGTGAACCAAAGAGATCTACTGCCAGTGGGAGATACACCATTCTTCAATTGAGTTTGAAGAGAAGCTATGCTTCTATAGAGGGCAGCCAAAAAGAAAGAACAAAAATTCAGAGGCCTGTCACGCGCCAATTCGTGCACTATGGGTAAATAGCTCGGGGAGGGCTTTATACTTGGCACACAGAAAACATATTTATAAAGTCAAACCAGAAGAAAGGCCACTCGCTCAGTATGGGAAGGCTCAGCGCTCGAATGGTTATGAAGGATTTGCAGGCTTGAATAAAATTCGGTGAGGTTTTTACCAAACTTTGGGGTGCCATCAGAAACCAAGATACCAGGAAAAATGGTATCGCCCAAAGGTGGCAGATTCACTAGGGCCCCAACATTCCTTAAAGTAATAGACATGGGGCCAAGAGGGAAAACAGAGGTATTATACTCAGAAGACCAAAAACTTAAAGCGATCGAAAAAAGTGCTGAATCAAAAGTAGGGGGTTGAAGAGTGATTTGTAACAAATCAGAAATTCTAGCATTATCAAAAAGTGCCTTAGTAGGACCATGGTCCACAAGGCGAGCATGCCACCTACGGAAAACTACGTCAGATTTGGGCTAAGTGCGAATACCTCTTTCGCGAAGTGGCCCCAGCGGCAAAGAGTTTAGAAATGGAGGGCCTTGAGTATAAGGAAACAACTGGCCCACTGCCGCTTGTTCAACTGCCTCTGCATTATTGAAGAAAGGACCCAGGTAGAACTCATTGAGTTCGACATTGGCAGGTGCGAGAAAGTTCGGAGTTATGTATGGACGATTAAGGAGTTTCTGAAAGTCTTCAAAACTAAAGGAGTCACCAGGTTGAGATTGTGAAGTAGCCATTAGGGACGAAATGGAGTTTTTCAGAGTTACGTAGCAGGGAAGCAAAGAGATGATGAACAGTAAAATTGTGAGAGAGAAGTGCGAAAAAGTGAGGCGTGATTTAATGGTGCAGTGAAATGACGTATTTAGGGGTTATAAGGGTTTGCAAAACGTCGCACATTTTCAAAGCTATGGAAGAAAACAATGATTGAAATTATTGGGAATTTCGAATGTTGCTGGAAACACAAAAGTGAATATGACAAAATTTAATAATTGGTATTAATTCTGCCATATTGGGGGGTAATTGTTGACACATAAAAATTCTGCCCAAATCGAACGGCCCAAGGAATGAAGCCCAATTGGAGGATTCCCAAATCAGATAGCCCAAATAACGAAGCCCAATCAGACAATTCAGGATGAAGGCCCAAATAGGGAGGCCCATGAACACGGTAACACCATCGCCCAAGCTTGCAAGTCGCCCAAAATCTGAGCGAATGGAATGCCATGCAGTCGCCCAGAGCTGCTACTCTATTCTCTCCCAAACTTTCGAGTCGCCCAAGGTTTTGGTAAACATGAAATGTTATGGTTATCAAGAAGCGCAGTTATCGAAGCAGTTATTAAGCAGGCCTATCACGTTCCACGATTCAAGGAATTCAATTGAAGACGGTTGAACGACAAAGAGTAATGACAGCAGTTAGAAAAGACAGTTCCATGACAAGTCGTCCATTACGAGGAAAGTGGGCAGTTATAGAACGATCAAACAATTTTTAGGCGGTTGATCACAAAGAAATCATCCAAGGAGTATAAAAGGAAGAAAAGACATAGAGCAAAGGACCCCGAATAAAAAAATTCTCGAACAGAGAACATGTAATTTTAAATTTCTTAGTTTATATTTAAACACTTCTTTCAGTAACTCGTGTGCTTGCGCCCCTTGAAGGCATTCTGTTTTTACTTTCCGATTGTAAAGTCATCGCCAATAAAGAACACCCCTTTTTGGGACTTTGTTTCAAGAGGTTTGTCCCTTATACAATCGTCTGATTCCTTTTTAATTGTTAGCGACGAACCCGCGCAAAACATAAAACTTGTTCAATTCTCTGGTCGAGGATGTAATCTAATTAATCAATTGCATGTTATTCCTTTTAATCAAGCAAGTGTTGGTTGTAGTTGAGATTCTAATATAGAATTATACTTTGTGCTTCCACTGCAATTACTCGTACCGCCGTTGGCTCCATTAAAGAGGAATGGTGTTATTTTTCTTCTCTTTTTTTCTCTATCTTTTTTTAAGTATATATTTGTGATTGATTTATATATTTTTTGAAAATTTGGGGTTATATTCAGGGACGGATCCATGATTGGATTCAAGACCAAGCTACAAAATTTCGAATTGGATTACTACGCAGAAAAAAAAAATTTACACATAAAAATTTGGTTTTTTACCAAAAAAAAATAAAAAATACCTTAAAAAAACTCTTGGGCCTGGGGGGCTATAGCCCAGCCCCCCCTAAATCCGTCTCTGATTATATTTGCAATGAGCTCTTTATTTTTCTATTCTATTCTATTTGTTTTATTTGAACATGGGTAAAATTGTCTTTTTATTGGAAAAATGGATGAAAATGTCTTTTTATGCAATGAAATGTGAAAATATAGGTAAAAATATCAAAAATTAAAAAATAAAGACGTTTTACACAATAACATTAAAAAATAAAGACGTTTTGTGCTATTTATCCAAGAAAATCCCCAGTAATCTTGCCCTTTCTTATATCGGTTCATTTGAACCGGTCGGCTCAAACCGCGTTAACACAGTCGCGACTACCTGTTACCCTTCGAAAGCCCTTGGCTACAAGGTTCTCAGCCTCAGCCGCTTCGCTACTGCTCAAAATAATCAAATTTACTAATAATAACAATATCTCTCCATTGCTGAAATAGCTTAAATTATTAGAAGAGAAAACGATGGCTCTGAGAGGCGTTTGGCAATTACAAAAGCTGATTGTGAGTTACTGTGATTGGGGAGGTAGCAGCAGGGGTATCAGGTAATTGCGAATTCTTCAATTGAATTTTTCCCCCTTTTTTGTATGCTTTTCAATATATTGTATTAATGTATTTATTTCTCCATGAGAAAAATTATGAAGTTCATGTCTAGTTTTATAGATTTTATGGGTTTCGTGTCTATTCTTCACGAGAAAAATTAGAAATGGAAATAAAGAGATACCGAATTAATTGGATTCGCAATATGGCAGCTAATTATTTATAATTATTTTGTTTTTACTCCTGCTCTATCTTATTTCCTCCATGTATCAGCACGGACACATATTAGTAGCTTAAAATTCCTCTAACTCATTTTGGACCTTGATTTTTTGACATAGATCTCTTTGGCTTTGGCTTTGGCTTTGGCTTTGGCTGTGTCACTCATGTGATCCCTGTATAAAACAATTCATTTTGATTTCACCTTTATAGTTCTTGACAGTGGTGCTTAGGTTAATGGGATTCGTGTGCACAATTTTTAGCTGTTTGGAGTTTTAAGTTTCTACATATTGTCTTTGATATCTATGTTAACTGCTATAGCTACACAGACTTAGGATACCGCACAGTGGAAGGTATAATATTGGAAAAGTAGGAAATGATTTGGTGTTACACGCACAATCACAATATGTTCACTCCTATAATGCATGAAATCCATGTCAAAAACCCGTGACATTTGGACAAATGTATGAAGTTAAGACGAAGAGCATTTGGCATCGATTATATATGCAGATAGTACATCAAGAAGTTTGATTTCTCACACTACTATTTCTGATAAATTTGACTGCCATTTTCAACAATTTATATTGTCTGCATATCTTTTACATAAAAAATAAAAATAAAAAATAAAAAATAAAAAAAGAGCTGTGCACCATGCAAAGTAGATACATTATGTTCTCAATAGTTAAAATTTATAGGTGCATCCACATTACTTAGCACGATCACTTATGTGTTTGAAGTGGAGTTTGCAATATAACTACTGATGTAGGATGAATAAGAAAGAAAGAGGGAGGAGAAGAGAAGAAGGGGAACCGGGGGGGGGGGGGGGGGTAAAAAAAAAGGGGGGGGGGGGGGGGGGGGGGGGGGTGTTAAAGAAGAAGAGGGGAGAAACGCGGCTCAGCCAAACGCAATTAATCAATTCATCGTCTGCCAATTACAACGTAAAAATAGGTTTAAATACTGAAAATACTGAAAACCTAAAAAAAAACCCTGAAAGATAAGACTAAGTCCATTACACAAGTCTGTAAAATAAAATAATCAAAGTCCAACTAAGAAATAAAAGTCCAACTAAAATAATGAAACTGAGATGTCCTCATCAATTCTCCTGGGGTGGGAGAGAAAACTCGACCCTGTCGAGTGGCTATGTCACTATAGGCTTCCGTCAATCTCCCAACCATAAACTGAGTGGTTGGGCAAGCTTCTTCCGGCGCCTGTAGAAATGCGTCAGTGGCAGTTTGAACCTGGTGTCCTCATGAACTCCCCTTGGGTGGACGGGAGGCGATCTGGGCCAAGGAAGATCTTGCTGACTTCGATAAAACTCCAATAAATCTGGATCCAATTACTGTAGTGTTTCCCTGGAGATCCATGCACAGTTAGAATTTGGTCGACCAACCCAACGAACAAGGAAGCGCTGAACCTCTCCATCATTAGAGAACACAGTTTTTTTTAATCTAAAACAATATCAATTTTTGCTTTGTGTGCTGTGAGAGGTGATAGTGGATTAGAATGGGCTAAAAAATCAGGATCAAGGTCCACAAAAGGAGGTAACAGAGGATCATCTGAGGGAATGAAATGACCTTTATAAGCTATAAGGTCCTCAACATTGAAAGTAGAGTGGTAACCAAGGTGTGGTGGAATGTCAACAATATATGCATTTGGATCAACCTGCATAAGAGAGAAAGAAGAAGGAGAAGAGAAGAAGGGGAACCGGGGGGGTAAAGAAGAAGAGGGGAGAAACGTGGCTCAGCCAAACGCAATTAATCAATTCATCGTCTGCCAATTACAATGTAAAAATAGGTTTATATACTGAAAATACTGAAAACTTAAAAAAAAACCCTGAAAGATAGGGCTAAGCCCATTACACAAGTCCGTAAAATAAAATAACTCAAGTCCAACTAAGAAATAAAAATCCAACTAAAATAATTAAATGTCGTCCAACTAAAATAATGAAACTGAGATGTCCTCATCAACAACAATGAGAACTAAGGCTTATTCCTGTAACTTGCATCTATAAGAAACCATTCCTTTCATACTCTATGCCTCTTTGATAAAAAATTTCACTTTGAAATGTCAAATATATTGTAAATTAATGATGTTTATCTTCATTGTTTGGGATGTAGCATCAATATATATTGTTAGTTTTGTTGTAGTAAATAAAATTTAATGAAGGATCCTAGAAGTAATGGAGAAGTGTTATAAAGTGTAAGAAAAATTGTCATTTTGAAATACATATAATCAATGGAGAGTGGACGAATGTTGTTTTCAAATGGTATACAGCTCAGTAAATTGTTATCGTGGATTCTTCTCAGGATAACAAATAGCAATCAACAATATTATCTTTACAGGTAGAAGTTAAATTAGAATAGCTAACGGTTATCTAATGGAGGAAAAGGATCAATGTTGCTTTTTAATGATCTGCTTTTAAACTAAGAAGCACGGATACACATAAGTAATTCGAATAGGATACGATACGATAATGATACACCAATACGACCTTTTCCAAAAAAATTAGGATATGTCGATACATGTTATAAAATTCAAAATAATTTCATTGATATAAAAAAATATATTAATACAGAAGCATGATAATAAAAATAAAATAAAATACTAAATCACTTTATATTAATCATTAATTGTCGAAATTTCATTTTCTTAAACATCATAAATATCAATTTCTTTATTATTATTAAAAATAATACCCTCGAACTTTGACTCATCTAATAATATATTAGCAAGCTCAAACAGTTCAACACCTTCAAGAGTATCAAATGAGTTTTCGGCAATGTCCTACATTATGGATTTTCCTTTTGAATAGAGATCTAATTTTCTTGATAAAAGATACAAATTGTTATGAATGAAAATCAATTCTTCGGCTCGTTGTGGAGTTGATTGAATTCCTTCTCGTAGAGTGCACAAAAAAGCACGTATTCAAATTTCTTTCAGCACTAGATGAAGAAGAATGTTGCACAAGAAGTTTCAAAACAATGTTTTGTAGGAAAAGTGCATGTGAACCATAAAGTATTGGATACATATAAAAAATCATGCAATAATATAAAATAATTAAAAAATTCATATCGGATACTTATCGAAAATTTAAAAAATATAAAAATATATAAAATAATTAAAAAATTCATATCGGATACTTATCGAAAATTTAAAAAATATAAAAATATATAAAATAATTAAAAAAAACAAGTATATGTTATGTACCGAAGCATATCGGAGAGGATCAGAGGTTGAATATGTATTGGATACGAGTACGAAACAAGTTTGCAAGTATCGGTGCTTCTTAGCATTTAAATAGGCTAGCAATTTGATTTCAAACAGGATTAGTGATTTCATTTATTTTGTTTAGGGCATTTATGGAGTCTCAATTGCCAGCATTCAAAGAACAAAATCCTCAGCTCGAGGTGATCACCGATCTCAATCGTGGTCATCATCCATTTTTGAAGGGTTTATACAGTAAGAAATTTCTCATTCTCTTCGTCTATCTATGAATACTCGATTTTTTGTGTGTGCATTTTTATTTCACACATCCCTTTGGGTTAGGCAATCTGTTTTTGGAAATTTGTCTATAGTCTGGGATCAACCGAATCTGATTCACACCTCTTCATCTAACACTGTTGTAGGTTTTTATTTAGACATGCAGGCCTATTCGTCTGAAACACGGATCATCCTGATACTATGTTCTTTGACTGCACTAGCATAAACGAAAAATTCATTGCTCTGCTGTTAGTGAGCAAATTTTTATTTCAGACCCGTTGGTGGGATTGTGGGAGGGAGAAAAATGTGGGTAGTTTTATTTCAGGCTGTTTTGTACGCATCTAATGACACTTGAGTAACTGAGCTTTCTCTTATCCTTAAAAGTAAATATTTTGGAGGTGAGTAGGCCCCTGTTTGACAACTATTTCCTGGAGGAAATAGAGTTTTGAAAAGTGATCCTTAGGAGAATGTATAGTTAAAAAATAGGCAAAAGTTTTGAGTTTACGTGCAAAATATTTTATTGTGTGAATGTGTGGTTGAAAATGAAAATGTAGAAAAAAGAGTTTGAAAATAATGTTTGTCAAACAGGGGCTAAATTCACTTATTTTTCCCTGCTCGGTACTTCGTAGATATGCTTTAAGAAGATATAGCAAGCCGACATGGATGATTAATTCAAGATTTCATGTAGAGATTGAAAGCGATAGTTTGAGAGATAGATAGAGATTGAGAGTTCCTTGAGGCACTGTTATCCATGCTCCAAAATAGGACATCATTGCACGCTGTCACTTCTTCTTTTGCTTTTGCTTAGAAGATGCCAGGAATGCCCTATGGAACTTCATTTTTTTTTTCGGGGAAACAATAATTTATTTTTAAAAACTTAGGTTCATGACTAGGAAATCAGAGTCAGTGGATACAACATCCTCTTAACATCGAAAACGTACAAACTACATCAAAAGACCCTTCCAGTTAACAGTCATAACAGGAAATCCTTAAATTCCTTATTTATATATGCCAATATAGAAGCTCAAATCTACCTTATCATATAGGGAGAAATAGGCTATATTTTCCTTCAAATATTTTGTTATTCCTAAAACATCAGTAACACCAGTGGAGACCCATAATTTCCTGGATTTCTCACATTTGTGTCGATATTTTCTTTACAAATTGCACACCTTTTGAATGGAACACTGAATCAGAAATATTATACTCCTCTGGAAAACTAGACAAGAAGAACAACTCTGTGTGGGACAGTTGGAACTCCAAATAAATGAGTATGGCGAATATTATCAAAATTAATTCCTAAAGAATCTGTATAAGAATAATCATTTGAAGCTATTTTTACAGTCTTTAGTTAACTCTTCTCTCAACTATAAATATTTGTTCCCAGGTGATTGAAGTATTAAAACTCAAGCTCCTCTTTTCTCCTCTCCAGCTATATTACATTTTCATCTTTTGTTATTTTCTCCTTGGGATTTAATAATCAGAGCAAACCATTGACGCTTCTCCTTGCCGGACTAGTAGGCTTTCAGTCGAGTTCTAATCCATTTTTTGATTGATTTAACTTACAGAGAACAAGAACGAGCGAGTTGTATGCGTTAAGAATCTGACTCCTGAGGACGTACATCAGTGCGCAACCAGGCTAAGGAATGCACTTGGACGAAAGGTGGTGAAGCTAAAGACAAGACACGTTACAAAACATCCTAGTGTTCAAGGTACTTGGACAACGGACCTGCAGATGTGACCATCTAGAAAAGTTTGACGAAGCATTCAAGTTTTGCTTCAAAATCAGTTTTTACTTTTTCGAGGACGATTATTAGCTTTCATCTTGTGTTAAATTGATTCAGAAACTGGGATAGTCGTTCATGTGCTGTGATGGTTATTTGGCCCTGGAAAGTTGTGTTGGTCTAGAAGCCAAATTTCTCCAACAAGATATAAAAATCCTTGTTACCGTTGAGTTTCCTAAGCTGTTCCTTGCTGGACTTTTATAAATTATATAAGAATGTTTTCTAGAAATTCAATTTACTGTGTGTTTCTGTACTTCGTATTCAACATGCAATATTTGTCCAAAACATTTCACCTAAACACTCATAAAAAAAACAAATTAGAAACATTTTTTTCCTACTTCACAATTTTCTTCAGTTATCATTCAATATTCTCCATGATTAACTGCTTAAATCACGTGAAACCCAGCTCATTTTTCGTTTAAAGAGAATGTCATTTTCATATGTTGTAAGATATTTGGCAATTAGTAGACGACATGAAATTGACATGCTTGACAAATTGATCTACTTTATTTATAATTATTATAAATAAATTTGATTTGTACACGAAATTGATGACAAGATTGTCACGTCGTTTTGATATTTTGAATCTTATCTTTAATAAAATGATCGCGTATTTTATTGTGAGGACAAAACAATCTTTTTTCTATAGACCGATGGCTCTATTTTCTATTGCTTGAATTCTTTTACGTAATTTTTTATGACTTTTCTTTTGGTTTATATGAAAATGACAGAGACAATTATGGTGATATAGGTGAGAAAGTCCTATCATCTACTCATAAAAGTCGGAAAAAAAAAAAACATTTAGGTAGGTTTTTTCTTTATGAAAAGCCACGTATGTTGACAATACAAGAAGCTTTTTGGAATTTTATTTTTTTTTTTTTCTACCAATGATGCTGACCATTTCTCATATTTGCACAATTATTGTGATCGGCGAAAATTATGAAGTATAGATAATTGAGATAGAAGTATCAAAATGAATGTATCAAAGTTGAGAATGAAATTTGAATTAAAAAAAGGCAAATACGAAATTACGCAATGAAAATTTCTTATATTATTTATGTGTTTACAAATTGAATCGTTCTTGAAATGATAATTTTATCTAGGCCTATTCGGTAGTAATTTTAAGAATCAATTTTTTGATCGTTAAAGAGAAAAATGGATTCCACTTGTGAGTGAATAAATCAAAAATGACAGCTAACTTATGAAAATAACAATCAAAAAATTAATTTTTCAAGATGAAAAATCAGAACCAAATGGGGGCCGTAATCACAGAAACTATGGAAGATCTTTACCCATGTTACCCTAGATAATTTGTAATCACACTTTCTGGGCGTTGAATAATTATTCAAACCCATCATATAGTAGAGATTTTTATTTATTATTATTTTTTAAGAAGTTGAAAGCATTCCTAAATTGTTTTGCGAATTTAATTTCGCATTAATTCGAGTTTTGAAATATGCTTATAATTCATTAATCAACGACAATCACGTATCAAGATCAAATAATTATGATTAATTGCTCTCCCATTTCAATCCTCGCAAGTCCAAAAGATGTGCAGCATTAGTCAATGCTCAGGTCCCTCATTACCTGTGGGAAATCTGGATTATGTTAATTAAATGAGCTTAATTATGATAAAGTTGATATGAAATATAGGAGTATTTATGAATGACTTTTTATATCCATGTAATCCTAGTCATTATGACTTATGAATGACTTTTATACCCCTGTAACCCTAGTCATTGTGACTATTACATCCCGTGTAACCCTAATTTGTCCTATAAATACGAGGCTGTGATTCTTAATAAAATACTCGAGTTTATTGGCTTTTTTCTTTTGTTCTCTCTTTTTCTTTAGATTTTATAACACCTTAGCATCACAATTCTCTCAAAATTTAAGTAAATTAGTTAGAATATAATAATTTTTATAAGCATAATCATCTGTCTTGTATACCAAAATTAATTTAGTGACATATAAATTCTTCCATGTACATATGCATAATAACGAAGTTGCTTCTTCTTCTTCTTTGTTTTCCGTTAGTATGCATATTAATTAAAATTCACGTTTATATGTGTAAACTATCACATAATAATTCATGGTTTATTAAATAAATTCATGTTTTACAATTAATTCATACACAATCAATTCTGTCACATATTAGTTCCGTCTTTAATTCTACTTTTAATTTCTGTATATGTGGAATTCACGTGCATGTTTGGTATCTTTTGCATGTTGATGAAATATTTTACCCTGGTTGAGCTCTATTACTATTAGTTTTGAAAAAATGTATTTTATAATAGTGATTTTTTTAAAAAATATGTGATTAAAAAAAGAAAAAAATTGGATTTATATGTAATATTATTTTATTGGAGAATATGTGATTAAAAATAAGAGACGAGAAAATGTATTTTGAAATTAATGGAGCCCAAACAGAAGCTTAGTCAATTTTGTTAACTTTGATATAAATAAAGATATTTTTCTATTGCATGTTTAGTAATGAATTTTTATATCCTATCTAGTTTGTATAGTAATTAATATTTTTATATGCTTCTCTATAACCTTTAAATTGATAATCTATCATATTGTTGCTCTTGAAATAGTACAATATTATAATTAATATTTCAGAAAAATATTATTTGCTATTGAAAAACGTGAATTATATCTTTCAATTTTCCATAAGAATATTGTCATGTTACTCTTGAGAAAGCACAACTTTGTAAATATTATATTCTCGTAGAAAATAAACTTTTGAAGAGTAAATATTTTGTAAATAATAATTTGTTGTTGTTCATGAAATATCACACTATTATTTATATTTTAGTTATTTTTACTTGCTCTCTAAAGGTATAATTAAGTTTTTTTTTATTCCCAAAGAGTAAATTCGTATACAATTTATTATTTTAAATAATAATCTATTATTATTCTTAAAAAGCATAACATTATGATTCTAATATTCCAAAAGAATAATGACATATGACTCTTAAAAATTATTAGTAAATACAACATGTTCCCGAAATAGTACATATTTCCCAAAAAAAAAAAAAAAATCATTTTGAATGTGTTTATTCTTGAAAGAAAACGCACGACTTATGTCATATAGACGTTGATTCTCATATGATTATAATGGTTAATTATATTTATGAGAATTAACTATGTCTTTTATTTGACTGAATAATTATTCAAGTTGACAAATATAGTATTGAACCAAAAGTTTAATAATTTTTATATTTTATTGTTTGGTATGTCAAATTAGATCATCACTGAATCAATAATGATGTGAAATGAGAATTCAAATATTGGACATTTAGTGAGAACTAATGGATTCTTTAATTCAATGGATTCCTATGTGTCATTTGTTATCTTTGTTGAAAATAAGTAATTATAGCCAGTAGCTAAAATAAAGATTGAATTTCTTATAATTTTGAAAATTAATTAGGGTGGTATGTATGTCTAATTATCATCCATGTTGACCATCTAAATATTATTTATGTCTAATGGATTTGGTACATAAACTACATGATTACATTGTGTTAATAATCTAAGTTTGCAAAATTACTGTTCAAATTTTAAAATGTGGACATAATTTTCGGATTATACAATCAAGCTGACAATACTAATGATTCTAAATCAACTTTTTAATAAATATTAGTTGAGATGACGATAAATGATTTAAAATTATTGTTTGTCGAACGCCTTCAATTAATTTAATTGATAACATACTTTCCCAATTCTGTTTAGAGAATGTTCTTATATATCATGCCAACATCAAGTGCTCCATATTATAATTGGGTTATGGTCAGAACTTGATTTCTTCATCTAATTATTTGATAGTACAATATACGTACAATTAATCCACAACATTGTATTGAGATAAAAAGTAAAAATGTTGAGAATACCCTTATCTCAAATAGGTAATATTTAATAACACAATTTACTAATTGTCAATTTGATTTGACAATTATCTCAACATTGAGAGTAGAAATTAAGGAGTTTGAAATAATGTACAAATGCATCATTATTTTCACAAAAGATAATTCTAACCAGAAGTTCAAAATGTAGTTTTTTAGATGCATTTACTAATTAAAGAAATCAATATCTCATACACCAATTTTAAATGCTCTAACACGAATTGATGTTTTAGGAGGATAGTTCATTAGTATTATATTTAGAACCATGTTGATTGTAAAGACTCTATTTCACAGGGCTTATACAGGCCACACACATGCAGGGGATAGGTGAATTTTTTTAAAATAATCATCCACACCACCCCCACCCCCACCCCACCCACCTGTGATGTGTTGGCCTTCATAGGACAGCCAACATTTTCTTTATATTTAATATATTTATGGCACACCCAAAGCATGAGAACATTTTATTTTAATATAAAAATCTTCAAATGGAAAATGAAACAATTAGCAAAGATAAGTCTCATTAAGGAGGTATATACTCTTGATGAGTATTTAGACATAATAAATTATAAAACCTTAAAAGATGATCAGGTATATAATATGTTGAAAATTGAGATATTTTAATTCGTTAGCATTATATTTGATATATTTATGGCACATCTGAAGTGTGGTAACATTTAATTTTAACACAAAAATCTCCAAATGAAAATGAAGCAATTTAGCAAAAATAAGTCCCATAAAAATGAGGCATACACTCTTAATGAGTATTTAGATATAACAAATTATAAAACCCTAAAAGAGGATCAGGTACATAATATGTTAAAAATTGAGATATCTTAATAAGTTATATCGCTATGAGGAAAGAAATAGAGCTCTTGTCCGAGCCACATTCTTCTAAAAATTAATTTTTTTCAAAAATTATTTTCAACCACATATTTTTCAATAAAATAATATTACAAACAAATCCAAAACTTTTCCTTATATTTTAATCACACATTTTTCATCAATCTACTATTCAAAATATATTCTTCCCCTAAAATGGGGCTCAACAAGGGCAGAATCGAAAAGAAAAGATCGTCGACAATACATTTTTGCATATGGTGTACTGGATCTAGGGATATAAAAGAGACAAACCATCTCACAAGTCGAAACTCGAAGGTCGGTTTGGCTCAAGTAAAAATTGTTCGAGCTTTTTTTGTCAGAACCGAGCCGAGCTTTTACGCAGCCAAAACATCAAGGCTCAACCCGAGCTCTAGCAAGTCGAATTTTTTTATTTTTTGGTAATTCGTGACAAATCTAATATTTTATAAAGAATTTAAAATTTGTATAATTTATATGAAATATAAATTAAATAAAAGTTACAACCATCTTCATTTTTTCGGGTTTGAGATTGACTATAATCAACGTAAGCGAAATTAAATAAAAGATACAGCCCTCATCATTTTTATTTATTTTTTCATTAACAGCCGGCTTGGACTCAAGTTGACGCACCAAAATGGGCTCTATTCTTCCGAGACACGAGCCAAGTCGGCTCAAATTTTTTTGGGACCAAGCCACAAGCCACCTGAACACGCAAGCTAAATTTACAACCTTAATTATATCATATGGCAAGGAATTGAAATAAATACGTCAAAACATATCAATCAAAGTTTTTGGACATGCAGTTTGAAAATCTAAATGTGTATACTTATACAAGAGGGAAATAAGAAAATCGTAATACATAATGCATGACTTTCAACACAATCATTTCATAAAGATCGTGGTGGATGAAATCATGAATCCGTATTATGTTATCTTGACAATGCATGAAATTCGAAATACATGATAATCTACTCATGTGTAATGACTATTAATATTATCCCTGAAATATTTAATATGCTTAAAACATACTTCAAGTGATATTATCACGAAGGAAAGTAAATACACGTTGTATATTTTTTCCTTGACCAAAGTTTTATCCCATTAGATTTTCCTGTTAAGGTTTTTAATAAGACAACCTTTGTATCGTATTTAAAAGAATAATATACTATTTTTTCTTCATTAAAATTTTTTCGACATGTTTTTCAATAATAAGGTTTTAATTATGCATATTCTTTATATGATAAGTGTCCATAACATACAAAATATTTCCCCCCAAAATAATGTCCCTATATGTATGAGATTCCCGAAGATATCAACAAGATCTATTTTTTAAATTATCATGTTTTTGCAATTACCAAAGGCTGATAAAATATCTCTTATGAAGACAGAGTTATTTGAAAACTATACAAGACAATGTGAAATATACTTCATCAAAATTGCATTATTGAAGACATTGGCGCATAAGGTAATGATGAATTAATTCAAGAATTGAAATTAAGGGGAGTAGCTGTATTCTTTTTCCTTCAATTATGTTTTGCCCCACTAAATTTACTTGATAAGATTTTAACGAGACATCATTTTACTATTCTAAATTATTTTTACTTTTTTTTTTCCATATGTTGACATTTTTTGTCCAATTGAGTTTTTGTCAAAAATGTTTCAATGAGACAGTTATTGTGTAAATACTCATTCAAAGGGGAAGTGCTGTTAATATAGTGATATTTATGAATGAATTTTATTCCCTTATAACCATAGTTATTATGATTGTTGCATCCCTTGTAGCCTTGATTCTTCCCTATAAATATGAAGCTTTGATTCTTAATAAAATATACAAATTTATTGATTTCTCTTTTCTGTTTTCTTTAGTTTATAACAAAATTGCAATTATTAGTATTAGACGTTGATATCTATGGGCATATGTGATATTTTATCGTCGTAATATACAATTCAAAAAATAAATAATAGTTTTTATGGATGGCAAAGGGGCCATTTCGATTCCTTCTCCCGCTTATCATCCTTTTTTTTTTTGGGTACTTTTTATCTTTTAATGTCTTTAGTAGGTGATTTTTATTTTTTTGGTCCAATTTATCGAACAATCCATGTTTTTCTTTAGATATGATGATAATTCCTTCTTTTTTCTTTTGTTGAAAAACTTATAACTTGAAATGGATATTAAACTAGTTAGGTAACAGGATGAGGAACATGTTCCTCGTACTCGCCCCTACGAACCTTGGGGCAACTACCTCATTCTCTCGCCCTATATTAGGCGGGGAAGCCCCATCAAATTTAAGGCAAGTCCTACTTATCATGTTTAAAGAGATTTTTTATTTTTTCATCCCTAATACTATTCAAATTTTTTACTACAAAATATTTAATATATATCAAGATTTTTATATTTTTTTCATATAGCAATATAAATTATAGGCTTAGGATAAATTTTATAATCAGTAAATATTTAACCAATTCTCGACTGGATCACTATTCTTGTCTCAATTGGATCACTGAATTTCACTAGGTCGCTGTACTTCAAAAGTTAGTTTCAAAATTCATACTTCACCACTAGCGATATTCAAAGTTGATGAAAGTTGCTTAATGATAGTCATACCACAATCAATATTTTATCATAATCGTGCATTAGCATGTCAACTTACTACTACGGCACGTTATAGAAGTAATTTTTTTTTCTAAAATTAGCTCGACTCGATCTATTCGATTTGTAAAATCAGGAATCAAACCAAAAGTTGTGCTGATTAGGCAAAAAAAACCTATCTTTTAAAACTAGCTTAAAACTCGAAGACCGACCTAGTTTTTATGAAAACCATTTACCACTTTACAATTTCATTGGTTTAATTTATGAAAATCGTTCAAAAAAATTCATCTTTTGAATTTTTTAAATTTATTTATTTTTTGAAAGAGTCATTGGATTTGACCACGTTTCGATCCTTGACTCTTCTTCTTTTTTGGATCCATGCCAGATCAATTTTTAAAACATTGCATGTGTGTGTTAAAAACACTCATTTTAACTTTCTAATCTAAATACATAATCCTCATTTTACCATTTCTGTTTATCACGTACTAAGAGCCCGTTTGGGCCCCATTTTTTCACCAAAAAAATTTGATTTTTTGACCGTTATTTCACTATTCCAGCCGTCATATTTGATTTCTTCTCTCACAGGTGGACCTCATTTTTCTCTTAACGGTCAAAAAATCAATTCTCAAAATCACCCCCAAACAGACTCTAAGCTTTTTCTGTTAATTAGAGAGTGATGCGTGAATTTGACACAATGATGAAAAGTTTGTAATCCAATTGAAATTATGCTTAAAGTTCAGTGACCGAGAAATAAAATGTAGGCCAACTTTTGAATACAATTTTTTTTAAATTTATTGAAGCGGCCAGTCTGCGGCCCTGATAAAAGCGCGTGGAACAAAGCGTGTGGGCCCATTATGCCAGTACTTCTTTTGAAATGGAATTGTGTGCAAACTGGAGGCCCACATCCTGTCAGGCCTATACGTGTCATAGAAACAAATGAGACTGATGGACCCCACCTGCCAGAAATGCCTACCTGATCTCTGATTAGTACTCTGACAATGATTTGGCGCCAATAATATGCATTTTCAAAACGAGGGCATTTTCGATAAGGAATTTGCTACACGTACATTGACGTGTACATAAGGTTGTATTTAATGAACACCCGGCGCCTCTCTATTGGAGGGGGCGCTTGGCCCACAGGCACCCCCTCCAATAGGGGGACGCCGGGTGTCCATTATGGACACCCTAATGTACATACTAATGTACAACAAAAATAATCCTTCCGATAATATGCATTCTTACAACAAGATATTTTACATATTTTACTCTCTCATCACGAATTCTTAAAGAAAACCATTTTATTTCAAAACTCCTCTTCTATAATTTTTTTTTAATATACAAATATCACTTCAATGATTGTCAAATGAGGGCTATATTAATGAAATAAAGCTCTTTCATCCAAAAATGTTTAATTATCGTATCGATCATTCGACAGGAGTCGAGACACTGCGAGGTGAGTAGTTCGTTTGGGGCACACGAGTACCTCCTAAAGATTAGCAAAGGTGTGGGAAAGTAAGCTATTTTGTTCATGAGTATAATTAGGGGTGGGCAAAACCCGATCGAACCCGCCTTACCCGATCGAACCGACCTAACTCGATCCGTTTGGGTAGATTTTTTCCCATTTTTTAGGTGGATTCGATTTAAGGGTAAAATATTCGGGTCAGGTTATGGGTTAACCCAGAAAAATCGATGGAACCCACCCAACCCTACCAGACTAGTAAAAAAAAATCGATTAAAAAAATTGAAGAATAAAATAAGAAGCTGCAGCCCTAATTTCTTTCATTCGTTGCTTCCTGTCTCCACTCTCCATCCTGTATAATGACATAAGTTGCGTGGTCCTGATATCGATTGAATTCTAAGAATTTTTCTAAGGCTTGAAAAGAATTGAATGTACCATTGAAAATAGAAACAAGCACATATTTCTGCGTTATATTATTTTATCTAATGATCCGTTGTGCACATTCAACGAAGAAACTCAAGGATTATTCTATTTTAATAGATGAATTTTGACATCCTCCATGACTGGTGTGTATGTGGCTCTAAATGATTAGATGAAAAAAGTGATTATGTTTAAGACAATTCAATGATAAAATATCGTATGACATTATATCAACATGTCTATAAACCTCTGTATCAATGTTGCATGACTGGAGCCCCTCGGGGCATTTCTCCACTAACAAAGGATGGGTTCTCTCAAGGCTGTCAGTTCAGAGGTCGTGGGTTCGATTCGTGGGGCTTTTGGAAGGCAAGACATATACTGGAAAACAGGATTTATCCTGGAAGGCAAGAATGTCTTGGAAGGCAAGGTGCAATGTGGGTTGGCTCACTAGGCACTTTGGCAGTTCAGTTGGAGATGCGCTCGGACCCTGGTCAGTAGGAGGTACATCCCGCAGTTTAATTGTTCTGTGTGAAGAGGGGCCGGATCACAGACCCAAGGAATAGTCGTCGAAGGCAGACACCTTGATATAAAAAAAAAAAAAAAATGTTGCTGGAAACTTAAATACTCGAACACAACAAAGATGCTTCAAAGACAATAATACAAAACATAAATCTTAACCTCAGCAGTCATTTTCGAGCTCAGTCAAAATAATAGAACTGAGCTCTCAGCTGTGCTACGGTTTGTATGCATTTGCATGGTTGTTTATTAGCTGTCAAATATTGACAAATCTTTCTTTTTCATTTTTGATATTGAATTTTCGTATTTAATTTTTTGTAAATCAAACCTCCAACAGTATACAAATTTGTATATATATGAATTTCGAAAATCCCTTCACTCTCCCTTCACACACACAAACTGAGTTCTTCCATTCTAACTCTCTATACCGCAACAATACCTTATCCAGCAGCTAATCTCTTAATTCTCAGGTTGGTTTTGCAATTCAAATTTGTTTTAATTAAAGCTTTTGCTTTTTAGTATTCAAATATATAGATCTTTCTTTGAATCCTGAGGTGGTTTTTTGAAATTTTTGATACAAAAGTTGAGATTTTATTGCAATTTCTTTGGATTCTTGATGTGGGTTTTTCTAGATTATGTTAGTCATAATTCTTTGATAAAAATTGTTATCAAAGTAAGAAGACAATCATGAGTAGGGTGATAGAGGGCTTCCTTGACGAATTCTTTATCGCCGGGTGAATTCGGACATCCAACGAAGTCGTGAAATTTATTGGGCCGACAAGAAAATACACAATCTAGTATAGATTCGACTAATGATGTTTTAGAATATGCTATCATAAAAAAAATTGGCGTGACCATAAATAATATTTTTGATCTGAAAATTAAATATGCTGTATATAGGAAGAAATAAAAGTTAAATGCGAAATAAGTAGACTACGTATTATTCGCATCTATGATTTGATTGGTAATTATGTAATTACAATATGTATATATTAATTTCGAAGGTACGGAAAAAGAAGGGTTTGAACGGAAAATCCTCTGGAGCAAGCTACATTCGAAAAAATGATGGAACACAGAAGAAGCCCCGTCTCTCTTGAGCAGAGTAGCCTTGCAGATTTTACCTCAAAACGACATAAAGCCGACCTCTCTCTCTCTTCCAAGGTATCTTATCATCATATATCGACTCAGATGAGTTCATTGTTGGATTGTACATTCTTCTAAATATTGTGTACACTTTACTATTTGTATCATTGATATGTTCGATTTATCTTGTTGTCAGCAAAAGAAAGAGAAGGTTAGTGAACGAATTTCAGCTCTTCAACAGCTCGTCTCACCCTTCGGAAAGGTACATACTACGAACCCTCGCATAATTTACACCTACACATCAATTGCTTAGCTAAATTTGTTTAAATTTACCACAGACAGATACTGCATCAGTCCTTCTGGAGGCAATGGAATACATAGGATTCCTTCACGAACAAGTTAAGGTTCGACATTTTCCGGATTTTATGACCTTTGACGTGCTCTAATACCACAAAAAGTTCGAATCAAGAATTCATTATTAACAATTTTGGATGGTCAATATCAAATCCCTTATTATTTCATTGGTACTTTCAGGTTTTGAGTGCTCCATACCTTTATAGTACGCCAACCAATGAGAACTCAATGGTATAATGAACAAGATTTTAGCTTATTTTCTTTCTTTATACTGCTATCTTGTCCATAACAGATGGGCTATGAATGTTTACTGCAAGGCTGAAAGTTATAATGTTGATCTATTCTGTTTCAAGGACATGGAGCCATATAGCTTGAGAAGCAAAGGGTTATGTCTTGTGCCAATTTCATTTACTGCTGGGGTTGCTAGCAGCAATGGTGCAGATATTTGGGCACCGATTAAGACCAGAAGGCCCGTCTCAGATGAAGATTCAGTGATAACTCATTGTTGAGGGAGTATCGGCCCCAAACTCATAAAGCTATGAAGTTACCTGGTGCAAGTTTACAGCGCAGAATCCCTCATAAATGAGTGTTCTAGGCAAACTTAGGGCCGAGTTGCAGCTGAGGACTAAATAGTTCGAAAGCTACTGGTATTAGATCCTATCCTAATGTTATTGTATGTAACGAGAGATAAGTTCATAGGTAAATCGACGAAGAAAAGAGTTTTTCTTATGATCTGTGGGAAGATGATGAAAAATTCTATATTCCCATGCACGCTGGAATGCTGCCTGAAGTTTATAGCGTTAACATTGAAGTGTGTCTATTTGAAAAGATTATCGTAGTCGGACTTTGAAATGAAAGACTCTTGCTAACGGAATCTTAGGAATGAAAGTACTCTGTATCACCAAATTTGTCGTCATGAATTAAGAGAAAACATTAATGATCGTATGTACTTGGCGAGTAGTCATTGAACTTGAAGAGAAATTTCACTTGGATCTTATTCTTAATTAGGTCACGAAAGTTGAGTTTAATATTCTAAAATTCATCACTATGTTAACATTACGTCACCTATAATTCCTCAAGCTAACAAAAATTGTTTAGATGGCATCAACATTTCACCATGTGACTATCTAGAAACAAAACTAGTAAAACAACCTAAACAAGGATCGTGGCAATATGTTCATACTAAAATATTCTATTTTTTTCAATTTTAAAATTTTTATGACGAGACATCATGGTAAATTTGCATGCCATGCACTGATTACGTAGATGATCTATTGCACTATAACTGTGAATAAGTAACTTTCATCAATTTGGAAGACTCAAATGTTAGAATTTTGGGGTGACCCGAATTCTTTTGATATAACTATAGAATTCTAATTGAAGTGCACATCAAGAGAAATTCTAGTTGGAACGCTTTGAGGAATCCTATTTAAGTTTAATTGTCAAATTCTATTTAAGTTCTATTTTAAATCCCATTGGGAGTTGGAATTTGAGTTGGACTTGAAGAGTTCAAATAAGGAAACTTTTAGGCATTTTATTTTATCTACAACTCTACTTATACGGATTGATTTTTCCCTATAAATATGAAACTCCTTTGTCAGTTTTGTAAGAAGTAATTTTGCTAAGTTGTACTTATTTTCTTCATATTGTTCAGTAATAAATATCGTTCCTTTACAATTTACTATTTTTATTCTTCTTTACTTTAAATCTTATTTTCGTGGTGATCTTTTTTACTTCATTATTGTCATTAAATTTTATTCTTTACAATCCAATTTGAGATCAACAAGTGGTATCAGAGCTTCCGAGCCCAACAAGTGGTATCAGAGCTTCCGTGCCCAACAAGTGGTATCAGAGTCAGGTTCATTTCATAGATTGGTTGAGATTTTTTTGGGATGACTAGGTTGAAGTATGATATTCCGCAATTATATCACAATACAAACTTTTTTTTTTGGCAAGTAAAGATGAGGACTGTTCTGGCTCAGTTGAGTTTGGATGATGCGTTGTTGGGTTTTGAGAAGATGCCAGTTGATTGGACAACGGAAGGATCGAAAGACCGTGTCGTTGATTCATCTTCATTTATCCAACAATATTCTGTAGGATGTCTTGACGGAGAAGACGACGGTTGCTTTGTGGTTGAAACTATATCAGTTATGTATAACTAAGAGTCTTACCAGAAGCTGGCTCTTAAGCAGAAGCCGTATTCCTATCGCATAGTGGAAAGAGGGTCGTTGGAAGATCACATTACTGTGTTCAAGGAAATAGTTGCAGATTTGGAAATGTTGGAGGTTAAGTACGATGAAGAGGATCTTGCCTTAATCTTGTTGTGTTCGCTGCATGGTTCTTATGCGTCGTTTCGGGACACCATCTTGTATAGTTGAGATACTTTGACTATAGACGATGTCTAAGATGTTTTGCACTCAAAGAAGAAAATGAAGCGTTTGATTGGAGCTACATCAAGGGATGAGGAAACTCTTATATCTCAAGGTGATCGACGGAGAGGCAGATCGAAACTCAACTTTAGCAATGTGTATTGTTACTACTACAAACAGAAGGGACATATTCGAAAGGATTGCAATATGTTGCAGGCTAGATGTGATTTAGCTGCAAATCGTGGAGCATAACCTTTGATTTCAGACGAAACCAATGTAGTTGAGGATTTTTCAGATGGCGGAGATGTGATGTTGACCGTAATATCTGATGTAGATTCTAAACCCGATGAGGAGTGAATTCTTGATTCAGTACGTTCGAACCATATGTGTTCCAATAGAAATTTATTTAAGACACATGAGGCTGTTCAATAAGGTGGAGTTGTAATGGTAAACAACCAGTCTTGCCATATTGTTGGAATCGATTGAGTCAGATTGCGGTTACAGGATGGGACGGTCAAAATACTTGGCCAGGTTCGACATGTTCCAGATTTGAAGAGGAATCTCATCTCGCTGAGTGTTCTAGATGCAAAAGGGTAAAAATTCTCTGAATGAGGTGGAGTCTTGAATGTCCGAAAGGGAGTCCAGGTTGTACTAGAGGGACGAAAAAGATCCCAGTTGTACATATTGCAGGGGAGTGCAAAATCAGTTAAGAGGAGACATTTGTGCAAGTTTAGAACCATGGTGGAAGTTCAGTTTGGTACAGTACCTCTTATGTTGAGCTCTGAGTCAGTTCAAAACACTGCTCGAGAGAGTATTGGTGATTCCGTTTTGCCATCAATTTTAGCGGGTATACCATGTTCAGTTGTTGGGGTTGAACTCATTGAATGTAGTTACCGTTGTCTCAGTAATGTCTGGGATGCTTCTAGGAACGTTGAAGGCAACATTTCTAGTAAGGGGCCTTCTAATCAAGCATCTAGTTTGGTTCTTGCTATAGGGTGTGCTTGGACCCTGTGTGATCAACATTAATTCTGATGAGGAATTTTGGGAACCTTGGGATTGGGTTCAGGTGTCGTTTGTAGACACGGGGCAGAGGACGATTGTTTGGTTTATATGGAGTGCTTGGTTACTGCATTGAAGAGAATGACCAGTTTATTTCGATGTAAACAGATTTGAAATCTAGGAATTTCGTTCGGTTATACCGAAACTCGTGACAATGTGAAGACTGTTAAAATTTTGGGGTGACCCGAATCCTTTTGATATAATTATAGAATTCTAATTGAAGTGTACATCAAGAAGAATTCCAATTGGAATGCTTTGAGAAATCCTATTCAAACTTAATTGTTAAATTCTATTTAAAGTTCTATTTTGAAACCCATTGAGAGTTGAAATTTGAGTTGGACTTGAAGAGTTCAAATAAGAAAATTTTTAGGCATTTTATTTCATCTAAAACTTTACTTCTAAAGATTAATTTTTCACTATAAATATGAAGCTCCTCTGTCAGTTTTGTGAAAAGCAATTTTAGTAAATTGTACTTGCTTTCTCCATATTGTTCAGTAATAAATATCGTTCCTTTGCGATTAACCTTTTTTACTCTTCTTTACTTTAAATCTTGTTCTCGTGGTGTGACCTTTTTTTTTTACTTTAATATTGTCACTAAATCTTATTATTTACAATCCGATTTGGGATCAACAAGTGGTATTGGAGCTTCCGAACATAACAAGTGGTATCAGAGCTTCCGTGCCCAACATCAAAGTGACGGAAGACAAATTTGCCCCCGTTTGAGCCACATTTTTACCTCATTAAAATGAAGAATATGACCGTTATCCATCACATCAAGCCATCATTTTTGAATTTCTATCTCTGGTGTGGAGCCCAGAACGGCTCTATTTTTCATTCTCATTATAATGTGGCTCAAACAGGCTCTAAAATTAAACTAAAGTTCAATAACCAAATAGACACAAATTAAATTTTAATGATCCAATTGAGATTTCATTGAAATTTCAGACTGCAAATGAAATGTACCCCTTCGTGAGGGACATTGAATTATAGCTAAAGCTAAAGGTGAGGTAAAGAGTGGTGAGAAAGCACAAAAGAGAAGTGCCCATCAGCATTTTGTTCCAAATTCTGCTTAGATGCACTTCTTTTGGCTTATAAGCAATGTCAACCACAACCATATTACTTGAGTAAGAAAAAGTAATTATGCCATCCTTGTAACTGAAATGTATTCAACATAGAATACAGCAGCAGACCACTTGTTCGCTATGCAGGAGATAGGAACACACACACACATGACTGTATAAATTACAAGAGACTTAAATTTGCTTAGGACAGAATAGAAATCTATAAGCAACTAGAAGCAATACCCTAACAGATCTTGTTTGAAGATTATACGATCAGTTTATCTATTTTCTTGAAAGACAGCAGGAGACAAGGTAGTATGCTCAATCTCACCTCCGGTAGTCTTTGACTTTATATATGTACTAGCCACCTCTAACATTTGATCCACCTCTTTCTTATACTGCAAGGTTTAACCAAGCATATTTAGACATTTACCGTTATGTTGAATTTGGCACAACCTTGGAGACAAAATGAAAATATTAAGCAAGAAGACGGTAAATCACAAAGGATATACACACCTCGTTGATAGCACCGGATTTAATTTTGGATTGCATTATGCACCATTTCTTGAAATGTGCACCTGTCAGAATTCAAAAATTCCATTTCCTTATTAATTTCAAATGAAGTTTGTACATAAGGAGGTTTCTAAGACAAGTAATAATCTTAAAAGAAAAAAACAATGACGTGACCATGCAGCCCATAAGTATTTGAAGGATTAAGATTAAAGCAAAACTTATTTTAAGATTATCTTGAAATGTCACAAAAAAAATAAATAAATAAATAAATGCAAAACTTTTACCGAATTTATGACTATCAGGAAAAAAAAATACACTGAAGTTGGTCGAGAAAAGCGGCCAATCGAAAGTGGCCCAAGTATTTCAAAATCTAATAGCCTGAGACCACAACAAATGAAGTTCTTCCACGTGTTACGTATGAGCACAATTGATAAGGCAGACCATTCACCTAGAGATATTCTATAACTGAAAGGCACAGAGTCTACCGCTTATCAGTTACCTTGGTAGAACAAATATACATAATTTATCTGTGTTGTTACAAAGATTTCTTGCAGAAAGAACCTGATAGAAAATCTTTACACTATGATTCCAATTATAATGTTAGGTAGTAGATTAGATTCAAGCCTTAGATACACACATATGTATGAACATGCATATCAAATGTTCGTCTAAGAAACGACGTGATTTGATTATGATAAAAAATATATAAATGATGACTCTCTCTAACAGTTTAAACTTTTAGATAAAATGGTTCAACATGATATCTGAGTAGACAAAGATTCTGGCATCGGCCGTTTAATCAATTGTGGATGTTCCAGGCTTTGATAGTACAAAAAAAAAGGGTGAATCCTATCTAGACTTAGGAGGCCTGTTTTAACACAAAATTTAAATAGTAGTCATGTGGTCCTCTTTATAGCTAAGCTTTCAAATCAAGCGGTTTGTTCAACAGACTGAAAGCTAACCAAATTAAGAAGGTTAATGATTATCAAATGACATAAAAGCAACAAATGTTCAAGCATTTATTAAATGATTTACAATTAAAGATAAATAAGAACGGATGAAGTTTTCCAAGTTGAGAAAACAACCATGCGCCAACAAAGATATGGAAGAAATTACCAGCTTTAATATCCACACTGCATGACGACTCCGAGTTTGTCTCCAATGACCATCTACAGTGAACCTGATGCACCAAAACATATATACTCAGTTATAAAGTTAAATAATAACTGCGAATATTCATAGAGGAAAAAGGGATTCCAGAAAAAAAATAATAATGATAGAATAAGCTTCAACCACCAAGTTCTAAAGACAGATAACCAATAAATTTCTTTAGCCTGAAAACTTGAAACATTCCAATATGTACTTCTACTAGATGTATAGAAACCATGACAATAAAAAGCACAGAAAAAATGGACAACATTTTGAGTACCTCAAAATATGATCCAAAGGGAACATCATGTGCCTGTTGTACTGTCTCAAACACCTAATTAAGGAAAAAAAGAGGCTATTATTTCTTCAACGTCACCAAAAACTAACCAACTAGATTGACAAGAGTTTTCACATTTGAATAAACAGAAATAGAAAAACAAATATATGTTCCCACCAGAGTTCTCTTATCTGGAGATAAAACAGCATGTTGCACTTCTGTCATTGCTGTATCTGGAGGACACATGGGACTGTTGCACAAGGTTCTATAGGTAATTTGCCTAACTTCACCGTCGTACTCATCAGCAGTATACCACTGACCCATCTGAAGTTAGCATAACAGGAAAATCAGATAGACTCTAGAAAGTATATGTACAAAATGGTACAGTGGTAATATAGGTGTTGGTTTTTCCTCAGCAAAGGTGTACTGATAACCACGAAAAGGTCATAGCTCATTAATGTCTACACATCCTGCCACAGATGGTTGACTAACTTTAATGGCTTGCTAGCTTGCATATGGACATGTGTTAACATTATTTTACAGGTTTTTTCCTGTAAAATATATATTATTAATGGCCACCAAACTGCAATTCATTTAGTCAGTGTCTGGACTAAGCTCTACGATACGACAAATTTTAGGTCTGGATAATTTCTATGCTGGTATTCCCAAGCTATAGTGGCAATGCAACGCCATGAACGAATATAGAGATCTCCTTACAACTCCAACTAAAAGTTTCTACGTACTCCAGTATGTGGCATATAATATAGAAGTATGTATATGATTTTGAGTTTGACATCCTTCTACATGTTTGTACAGATCCAATCAATTGTATGGAGATGAGAGACCAAGCAGCATGTTGACAGACATTATTAGAATTCATTACTTACTATGACATTAGAGTCCTTTCTGGCTGTACGATACTCATTTGTGAAATTCGAAGCGTCATCAAACAAAGTTTCAAAAAATTTCTCTGCTGTGCATGGGAACACGTCCTACAAATTATTTTGCAAACAAGATATAGTTAGTCAATATGATGTTCAAATAGGGTAACAAAAAAGTAGAACTGTGAGTTATGCACACACATTATAAATGCCAGAAAGAACATCCTCTTTGATGAATGGTTGAAACTTGTCAGTCTTGGGCACACTTTCCTCAGGAAGCTTAGATTTCCTTTCACTGCCTCTGACAGAGCTACTATGACGCAATGCTGACTGTTCCTTATCCTGTGTTCAGAAATAAGATCAACAGTTAGAACAATTTGAGCAGATTACCTAAAATTTTAACCCGGGTAGAGCAATTTATATTCCTTAAAGCCAAAGTAGTAATACATCTGATAGAAACTTATCACTTAAAATGGAAATGCATAATTCATCGTATACTACACGCATATATATCTTCAGTTTACAGTTGTTTCACTACTTCATGTCTGAGTGTCGCATGTGAACGCTCACCATGCAGCCCACTAAAAAGTTTTAGTTTCTAATTAACTAAACCTATACACGCAAGGCATTAAAACTGTAACCCGGTCAATCAAATGCTTTACATGTGAAAAATATAACATTTCCTTGAAAATAATGTTTTCAGACGATCCAATATAGCATGATTATCAATGAGAGAAGACCTCGTGCAATTTTGACTTGCTCACTATCAATAGGTTTCGAGTTAAATCATCCTAAATAGGAAGTGGCAACATCTCTAAAAACCAAGAAAGATTACCGATGTGGAAGAAGAGAAAGGAAGATTAAACAAGAGCAAAGGGTAAAACCTTCTTCTCAGCTTCTAGCGTTGCATGATAGTTCTTTACTGCAAGCTGTAAAGCTCTCAGTGCATGGTTTCTGTTCCAGAATGATGCAAACATATATCTGACTCTACCTGAAAGATACAAATGGCTCACATATGGCATCAGAGTCCACAAATTAAGTGGAAATACATCTACAAACAACAATACAGACTTTTAGAATATAGATTAATATTTGAAGATCTACAAATCTGAACAGGATCAGCATAAAACTAATTGAATATTATTTTAGTTTCAATAACTAAACATGATAAAGTGCACACTCATGTCTATGATGGATAGTTGGTAGCCACATCTAGTTTTCACCTACACATATTCCTCACACTGACTTTGACGGGTGTCAGTATACATATAATTAATAACCAGTGGGGAAACAACAGCATTAAAACATGTGAAATATTGTATTTTGGGCTCGGAAAAACCATAAATGAGAAACCACAAAGACAATGAAAGACAAACTAGAGGGAAAATTCTGCTATGCAGATAACAAAGAATTGAATATCAGTGTTAGGTTTTGATGGGCGAGATGTCATTTAGAAATTTACTTTCTATCTTATTTAGTTTTCATAAATAGGTGCTACCTTAACAATAAGCTTGACAATAAAGACAGAACGGCCCTTTTCAAAACATTCTCTGAAAAAACAAGAGAATATTTGTTTATTTTTCTATCAGTCTTTCTCTCTTGAAAGGAAAGCCCTCTAAACTGAAAAATTTTACTTGTTTCCAAGGACATGGTCTGAAACATTTTCAGAGACTAGCTTGCTTCTATCTTACCGTAAGAAATCATAGCAAAATCTATTTCAGATAGAGCATATGATGTCAATGGCCTGCGAAGAGCACTTAATGGGCTAGGGTGGCCCCATTTCGCCTTACCGACCCAAGATTGCACCAGAAACCACTATTCAACCAATCTCAAAGTCCTATTCTGCGAGGAAATACACGGAAATGATTCTTGGACTATAGCAAATTTTAACATTAGCCTTTAACCCATTATATGAATTAAAAAAAAAAAAATAAGTTAAAACATAAATTTACACTAAAAGGACAATTTTACCCTTCAAGGCTACAGACTGTTTGAAAGTTTCCTCTCTGACCGACCGACCCAAAAAAACGGAAGCCACAGTTGTCAGAAAAACTAACCGATCAACCATCGGCCGAAATCACCAACGTCATAGTGATTTCAATCGACGACCAGAAGCACGTATCTACCACCGGGCGAACTATTCCGATTAGTTTTCTTGCAGGAAATTGTATTTTTTGTTCCAGTTTTCATTAATTGAATTATTTTACGTTTATTCAGTTTAATTAGATGAAGATGCATGAGTAGTTAGATTGTGGATCATGTTGGGGTGAAAAATGTAAATTTTTTGTAATTTTTGGACCTCTCCATCGTCTACAATAGCGATTTTCGACGAAAGGATAATAAAAGATGGTGACTGTTAACAGTCATGGACTGATTGTTAACAGTTGTCCCATGGACTGTGAACAATTTGGACGACTGTTAACAGTCGGTCCAGACTATTAACAGTCTGTAATTTTGTTTAAAATTTTTTTTTTATCAATTTTTATAATTAATTTATTTTTTTATTTGATTAAATAGTAATTATGTTATTTATTTATTTTTTATAATTGTCTTTTATTTATATAATTTAATAATTGAATATTATTTAAAATTAACAATTTATTTTGTTCCTTTTATTTTTGTTTTTATGAAATAATCTTTGATTTTTTTTTCACATTTATTTAAATAATATAAATATTCTTTAAATATTTTAAAAATGTATTTAATTTGAAATTTATTGTTTGTAAATATATTTTCCAAATGATTACAAGATTAATTTTCTTTATAATTAATTTATTTTAATTTGATTAAACAATAATTATGTTATTTATTTATTTAATTTTTATAATTGTCTTTTTTTATATAATTTAATAATTGAATAGATGATGTTGTCCGAAATTAACAATTTATTTTGTTCCTTTTTTTTCTTTTATGAAATAATATTTGATTTGTTTCTAATTTATTTAAATAATATTTATATTCTTTAATTTTTTTAAAAATGTATTTAATTTGAAATTTTTTTTGTAAATATATTTTCCAAATGTAATATATAAGATTAATTTTCTTTATAATTAAATTATTTTAATTTTTAAATTTGTATTGAATTTATTTTGTTATTAACGTCAATGTCTTGCATATTGTATGGTAGTTAGAATTCAGTTGCCTTGATTTTTTGAGATTATGCGTTACTTTATTATTTTCTGTTCAATGTTCTAACATTTGAATTTTTGCAGGATGGAGTATCATTTAGATGGGGAGTTGATACGGATGACAGGGGAAGCAACTTAGAACAGTAGCTTTGAGAGTTTTACTGCGGTGTTGGAGGTGCTTGATGATCATCATGGAGATATGCTATGACAGTCCTTCTTGTGGCCACTATACCAAATGCGAACGGTGCAGTACTCATGACAGATCATCAATGCACTTCTATGCCGGCTTCTGAGGTCAGTCGACGACGATTCCCTCCACTTCGACCTTGGGGGCAAGGTCGTCAGTTTCTCGATGTATGAGTTTAGCTTGATCACTAGACTGAGAATTACGGGCGACGATGCAGCCATTGAGAGAAGCAATAGGCTGTACGAGACGTACTTCCAGGGACATGGGTCAGTGCATCTACCCGAGCTGATGGTCGTGATCAGGGGGTGTGACCAGATGATAGATAGATTGAAGCTTGAACTGGTCTACATCCTTGAGAGTGTGATGAGGTGTCATCACAAGAAAACTGCCATTGACATTTTTCATTTGAAAGTTGTTGACGACATCGATGCGTTCAACAGCTATCCATGGGGCCGAAGATGCTACGAAGACACCGTACACGTCTTCACCAGATTACACTCAAGGCCCAGGGGATCAATGCATAAATACGATACATATGGATTGCCCTTAGCGGTGCACGTAAATGTTTAATATAATTAAAATTAAAATTTTAGTATATTACATTTATGCATAATAAGTGTATGTGTTGCAGATTTGGGTGTATGAGACAGTCCCTGCACTGGGAGCCCGCTTCGGAAAGCGAGGAGAGACACGATGCCCTCAGATGCATTATTGGAGATCGTCGCGAGTGGAAGGATGTCCCACTAGAAAATAGTTATCGGCCCTCCTCGACGATCCTCAGGTAAGTATTATGCATTTGTGATTTATATCATACATAGTTTAAAATCTGTTTACATGATCATTAACTAGTTGAATGTTAATATGTCAGCTTGAAGTCATATCTGAGTTGACGCCGTCGATGGAAGAGGAGGCTCGGGATTTTGTGCGGAATTTAGGGGCTCCGTCCACCCAAGACGAGAAGATGTCTAATCCGAGCCTAGACCAAGATTGGATATGTGAATTAAATATAATTTATTGAATGTCCTCGACATATAAATTTATTGAATAATTTTTAATGTTATTTATGTAGGAGGGCAGTCCAACTGATCGACGATCACCTCCGCCAAGGGTATCGCCTCCACCATTGGCATCATCTCCGCCGAGAGTATCGTCGCCTCCATTGCCATTGCCTTCGCCGCGAGTATCGCCATTGCCATTGGCATCGTCACCGCCGAGGGTATCTCATTCTCCCTCGTCCAGACACGTCCCTCCTGTATCTCCGACACACAATGATGATTTGTATGCCCGTCTGACTGGATTTATAGTGGAGGAGGTCGTCGCGCTACGACGAGAGTTGATGGAGCGGGTCAATGATATGGGACGAGAGTTGACATGGAGGGTCGACGATTTGACAGGGAAGGTCGACTATCTGACAGGGAAGGTCGACGATATGGGACGAGAGTTGACAGAGAGGGTTGACGATCTATCCCGTGATGTTGGAATACTACGGTCTTGTGTTGTCGACCTTCAGGATACGGTAGCGGCACTTAGAGGAGGTTTAGCCGTTAGGTGATGAGGGGACAGAGGGGATGCTGGAGATGATGATCGAGAGAGTGGCAGAGATGGTGATGGAGAGGGGGGTCACCCATATTTTTAACATGATGAGACATTAGAGTCATTGTGGTTGTCTATGAAGGGGAAGAGAGTGGCCCCGATGGGGATGAGAGAGGGGACGATGGAGAGGTGGTCCCGATGGGAGGGGCGGATGAAGTGGTGACGGAGGAGGTGGCCTCGGAGGCCGAGATGACCCTCGTCATGATTGAGGGTAAGAGACATGCTATTGATGAGACGGAACAGGTGGTCGGCAAGAGGTTGAGAGTGCCGTCACAGTATGTTGTTTCCCCCTTCACGGCTGAGACCAAGAGGAGGACGTTCATTGATGGGACGCACCTGAACTTATTCAGGAATGTGGATAATGCCAAGTGGAAAGCGTTCGAGACGGAGTGGAAGAGAATTATCCCCGGGTAAGTATTGTATGATTTTAATAAAGCACTGTACGCTAACTCGTCTATGCTTATTTTAATCTTTCCCTATTTTTTCAGAGCTAGCCGCACAATAGGTAACCGGATGGTCTCGGACGCTTACAAGTGGTTCCACGATATCACCACTTTGGGAGCTTGGCTCGCCGACGATGTAAGTGAACTATTCATTTCGTGTTTTTTATGTATAAGTCACTTTGTATTTATTAAATGAATAACTCATACTTTTTTGATATTTTCTGATGCAGCGCATCGACCTGGCCATGAACTTGCTGCGAGATCGAGCTCAAAGATATCCAAAATTATTTGATGTCCATGGTCAAGTCATATTAAACACCGAATTCCTGCTGCCGTTACCATAGAGCATCAGTCGCTCCAACTTATGGGTAACGAGTACACGGTGCCAGAATATATATTTGAGTGAGTCATAGGAATGTCGCCGAGTGTCGAGGGAAAATTATGGGAGGGTTGTACACATATGTACATTCCAGCGTATATCAATAAGTACTATGTTACGCTGGAGATCATTTTTACTGACACGACTATATATGTGTACGATCCAGATCATTCATGTTTGACACTAGGCCAGCTGGAGCAAAATCTGGAATCCGTAGCTGTAATTGTTCCTATGATGGCCAGACGAGCGGGGATGACTGTACAGGACAGATTGCGGATTGTTCGGAACACGACGACAACGCGACAGTCCAGAAGGTAAGTGTTTGAGCTTTATTGTTTTCATCTTTCAGACTTAGTTTTTTAGCTACACTGTACTGAACTAATCCATTCTTGTTCAATTGTAGCGGTGACTGCGGCATATTTGCCATTAAGCACATTGAATTTTTAAGTATAGGACATAAGGTTGATGAAATCAGCCAATCGTGGATACAGAACTGGAGAAAGAAGCTAGCTTGTGATTTGTTCGAATTTAATGGTGACCCGCAAATTTGTATTAAATATATGTAACATTCGAATTGTAAATTTAATTATTTTTTGTGATTATAAAATAATTGTAAATTTATGTTCAATGTATATAGCATTCACATTGTAAATTTAATTATTTTTTGTGATTATGAAATAATTGTAAATTTGTGTTCAATGTATATAACATTCACATTGAAAATTTAATTATTTTTTGTGAGTATGAAATAATTGTAAATTTGTGTTCAATTTATATAACATTCACATTGAAAATGTAATTATTTTTTGTGAGTTGATTTTTTGTTATTTTACACATATGCCGAGTATGGAACTAATTTTTCATATAAATAATTATAAATACCATTTATCAAGAATAAATATTGAACATTTAACATTTATGAAGAATAAATATTAAACAGTGTAAAGTAAACGAAAATATTAGTCATTTAACGTACATGTCTAATCGTCATTTAGGGGAATTTGATTGGTACAAAATTGTTGAGTATGTCCTATAGCTTTGCACCTGTAACACCTACGCTGTCGAGGAAACTCTCCGATAGATGATATTCTAGATGTACTTGGACGTCCAAAACCACGCGGCTCAACTGCTGGTGGCAACAAATCATGAAAAGGGAGAATGTGCTCGGAAACTTCCCACTCGACTTCATTCGACAGAGGAAATATAGTTTCAGCATATGTTGTTCTCCAAGACTCAGTCGTATGATACAAAGAGCATAACGTTCTCGCTGTAAAGCCTCGATATATGGCCACCGCAACTGCATACTCACATGAAACTCTCCAACTGAAATCTCGTACAAGTACATGTGTTATCAGTTAAGTCCATCATATATGTCGTATTATGTGCACGGAGAAGCGAAACTCATTTAGTGCTTCCACATTCAACTTTCTCCCAACCTCTGCCGCCTTAAAGAGTTTCTTCTCTTGAGCTGGGCCAGCACGCTAGTGCAACTCTGTGATACCGCACGTCGGTCATGAAACCACTGTTGCAGCTTGTTACGAATGTTCTCAATCATTGCAAGAATTGGTAACTCTCGATCCTTTTTAAACAATGCATTAAGAGACTCTGCGTTATTCGACGTCATCATATTGTATCGACGTCCTGGAAAGTATGACCGCACCCAATGTTCGATCCCCATGTTCGTCAGATACTCCAACACCGACAATGATTTACTTCCTATCTCGAACATGAACTTATTACACTCTTCAACACTGTAAGCTTTGATTGCTCTCCTGAACAATGAAACGATGCCTTTACTCGGATACCTAGTCTTCAAATTACCTTGTATATAGTACATGCAATACCCGTGATGTGCCTCGAAAAAAACTTTAGCGATACCGTTTATTACAGACTGTCCCCGATCAGTTACAAAGGCAAAGTCTTTGACTTCCCCGATCACTTCCCTCAGTTTCGAAAAGAACCAACGCGTGGACAGATCATTCTCGCTATCGACTATACCGAATGCAATAGGATAAATTTAGATGTTGGCGTTTTGACATGTAGCAATAATTAGTTTGCCTTGATATTTAGCTTTCAGAATTGTACCATCAACTAGAATAATGGGTCGCATTGCATTTCGAAAACTCCGAATACATTGTCCGAGAGCCATGAAAAAATATTTAAAACAATTATCGCCTCCCATCTCAATAAAAAATGTCGTGTCAGGATTGGTTGTCCCCATGTTATGGCAATACCTGGACAATTTAGCATAGCTCTCCTTAGCTGATCCCATTAAATCCTCCAACGCACATTCTTTGGCCTTCTAGATTTTCTGGTAGCTCATGACTACTCCATACTCTCAACGGACATTGTTAATGATGTCCGAAGATCTGTAGATCGTCCATGGGTCTTGATACTTGTGCATTATCTGTCGACTAATAAACCATGCTCAAGCTTGCCTGTGATCATTTCGACAAATTCCCACTTCGTATGTATGTTCTCGTGCATATTTGCGAACTACAAAGCACTCATTCGTGTCCATTTTAGTCGCTCTCAAGTGCCAATTGCAATTGTCGTCAATGTAAGCAACTGTCAACAAATGACTTGGATAATTTTTTTACCTTGAACTCAAAGTTATATTTTTATGTCATCCAGTGTACAGCTTCCTGCAATCTTTCTTGGTTTCAAATAGTTGCTTGACATACAAATCGTCATCATCGAGAGCCACACGCGAAGAATTGGAGGACGGTCCATTTGTTCCACCCCTTGAGCTCCCACCCCGCTCAGGTCTCTGTCGGGATAAAGCAATTAAATTTTCATTTGTAAAATCATTTATATTTTCGTTGTCCTCAACTGTAGACGGAATTCTGTGCGTAACAGTGACTTCACGATCAGTAGTAACCGTTTCAGGAATAACCACATCATCTGCAGGAACTATCTCCACTGTCTCCCAAAAAATCTTGGTCATTATTATCTTCGCGTTCACCTTCGACAACATCCTTCTTAACTAAAGTCACACCAAGAACAGTTGGAATCCTATGCATTTTATTCAATTCTAATAGATAATTCAATTTAGCATCATTAGTAACAAATATAGGTGGCATCAGAATGGACAAATCCCCATAACCATTGAATAAATATCTCAGTTGCATATCGTACTGAGAATAATCAACATTTAGCTTATTTTGCAAATCCTGGTACACTTCCGCATATGATGTACTCTCTGTTACGAGAATTGCAATACAACTACATACATCACTCGTCCATCTCCATTCTTATCTATTATTTTCATTCAGTTCGAAATCACCGAAATAACAGATCGAAATTATTATATCTGCATGACGATATAGAATTTTTAAATCAATTACAACAACAAAAATTCAGATATTTAATCAACTTGTAATTAAAATTATAAGACAATTGCCAAAACAAAAATTAATAATAAAAAAAAAATTCGTAAAACAGTTGGGAAAACAGCCAACTGTGGACTATTTTACAGCCAATGGTAGTCGGCTGTCAGCTGTTAGACAGCCGATTGTCAAATCGGTGTTTAACAGCCGACTGTTAGACAGTCTTTTGACAGTCGACTGTTTGCTGTCTAACAGTCTTTGTTACCATCCCACAGTTAATCGTCGGACTGTTTATTTTGCGTATGACTTTTTATTTTTCTATGGTTCTAAAGAAATAAATTATAGATCTGTTAAAAAAAATTTCTACTGACTACTGTGTTATTTAACTACTCAAACGTACACTAATTTACTGAAATTGAAATTAAGCATGTGTAAAAATATACTTACGATTTGAAGTAATTGATCTGAAAAAAATTATGGTTTCAACGTTTGAAGTTTTTTGATATTTTGAGGTTCAAAAAAATGAAAAATAAGAGTTTTTTTGTGTTTAAAGCTCGTTCTACAGTTTTATAAGTGGAGAAGTGTATGGTTTTCAATTATTAACTAAAAGGGTAATAATGTCTTTTAAACTATTCAATATTTTGTAATTACATAATATATTTAAGGGTATCTTTGTCTTTTACCATTCTTCAAGTTTTTAAAAGTCAAAGTGGAAATAAGGACCTTTGACTAAGTGAATTTTAAAAGAACCCCCTATTCCGCTCCTTCCCTTGAAGAACCCAGCTTTCTCCTGCTATGGTAATGTTCTTCAAATCCAATGCCACAAAATGCCAGATGTGTGTGTAATCCAATCACAATGGAATGGACAAAATAAAAGATGAGAATTTAGGCCTACAATTGGAGGTGACTTCAATTGATAAGAAATTAGGAGAAGAGTTTGATGGTGATCTCTACCCGGTACCCAGTAAGACTAGACAGATCACAAAGAAGATTAAAAATGCATCCTTGTGATAGCAAAATAAGCTAAAGTGTATTGTTCACCATTAATTCTGTGTAATCCATACACCAGTATATATATAAGCAAAATCAAGCAACTGAAGCAGCACCGTGGAACTAGATAAGAAATTCTGGAGCTAATTGTATCATCGCTTAATTGCAATGCCGAATTCAAGATCACCATCTTCGGGTTTTCCCTTTTTTGACATGAAAATTAGAGTAAATTTTCTGCTTGACTTCTACAGCATTTGAATGATCTCAATAATGGGGTCTAATTTTACAGATGCTTATAATGTAGTCGACAGCATGGTCCATTTAAACTTAAGATAGGGAAGTAGTAAAAATTTATCAAAAGGACACTTGATGCAAAAAAAAATAAAAAAAATAATAATAATAATAATAAAAATACTAACCATCTGGGTTTCCCAAAGGAGGGACGCCATGTCCACCAGCACCCATTCGAAGAATTATTGTAATAGCGGGATTGATAAAAGCATGTTGGCTCCTCCTTATCTGAAATGGAAAAACGACCAAAAGATTCATTACTTCGGACAGCCAATAAATCCCATAAGCAATCTGGAAAAAAATAAAAAAATAAAATTAGAAAACACGTCTTTGTACCTCGTCTATATCTCCAAAAGGTATAATCACCTGCTACAATGAAAATGTAAACATAAGAGTGTGTACAACTTAAAGGAGTTCAATACAAAAAGGAAGGCCAGCTTTTGAGTAGAAATTATACTATCTGAAACCAGGTGCTAGAAAATAGAAGCTCATTTCGATTAAAATACCAATAAATGTCAATGGCTCATTCCTGGAGTGGTTTCTAAAAGTATTTAGAGAAAATATGAGGCACTGAAAGGAGATAAAACTTTAAGTGAACACGTTGACTAAGAGGTAGACCCAAGGCCAAAACTTATATTTTAGCAAAAGAAAAGGAAAATCAGCTTTCATAGAACAGTGGAAAAGGTAGACATCATCATATTCACAGATGAAAATTCAAGTTATTTTGGCAAGATGTTCTAGAAAAGTCACCAAGGCAAACCAAATGGTGCTTCAAGGCACCAAGAGTACTCTCCACGTGTCAATTATTTTTAAAAAATAGCAGTGTAGTCAAGCAGCACAGACCATTTACCTGCCAATTGCCAATAATGCCTTTCTATCTCGCAAGCAAAGGTTATAATCCTATCATTAAAGTTTATTCCCTTCACTGCCATTTACCTGCTTTTAACCACTAATTTCTATAATGAAATACACCACCACCACAAAGTAAGCCTTATTCCCAACAAATTAGGGGTTGGCTATATGATTCATTTTTGGTCACTCTTTTTTATCCACTGCCACATCTATATGAAGATACTATGCAAGCATAGTTAAGTGGAAATCTCATTTTCATTTGTTATGCTCCTCTTTCATTTATTTTTGCAACATTTTGCCATTTTCCCATTTACTTTTCTGTATGTATAGAATACAATTTGATTACCAGTGTTTCCTAAAGCACAGTTTTGTAGTTTTATAAATACTAACAATATGCTTAAGGCACATGACATCTGCCTTCACATAGGGTAAAAGCATTACCATGTGGCTTTGCCCACAGAGTTAATTTAGTTTCTTACCTATATCCAATGATATTAGGAACACTTTCCACCAAACAATATTTAATATAACTTTTTAATAGATCAAAAAGGAGGGATGATATGGGAAATAATGTTCCTTCATGCCCATTCATATTTTACTGCAGGAAAAAAAAAAAAAAAGGAAAGATTATTTCTGCTGTAGATGGAGATAAATTTTTACAACAAACCAAAGTACACTATATCTCAAGTTAGATAAGAATTCATAAACAAGAAATCATAATCATGTATTTTAGACACCATGAACCTGAGCTTCAGAAGTGAAATCAACCACAAAGACAAATTCGCTGACCAAGAAGTTCTATAGAGATGATTCATTGATGAGTGATATTTCACTCTTCATATCAAGGCCATTAAACTTATTATTTAGTTGATTCTCATGTATTTTGGAGGTGCTAACATGTGGTTTTCATGCTATTTTGAAGGATGGATGAAGTGGAGAAACAAATGATAAAAGAGGCCAAATGAAAGAAATATGCCAAGGTTGGTGAAATTGGATGAAATGACCAAAATGTAAGGGATCCAAAGTTCGAGGACTAAGGTGCACGTAATCAAAAGTTGTGTCGAAACTTGGAATGAAGATCCGAGAGTTCTGGAAGCCAATTGGATGAAGAAAGATGTCAAAGGGATCAAATTTAGTCAAGATATGATCATAAATCATTTTCCAACCGAAAAGTTTTGCACCGGATTTTTAGTCTCACATTCAGACCCATTTTCGACACAGCAAACGATCGAATTGGAGAATGATGCCTGAAGCAAAGTTGTAGCCCTTTGAATTACCTTTTCAACGCATCTTGAATCATCTCAATCGGATATCGGAAGAAAGAATTATGATAAAAATACTGAAAGCTGTGCAGTGCAACCAAAGTGGTCACGAGCGCCCAGGCGCTATCCCTCAGCGCCTAGGCGCCATGTTGCTGTAATTTTTTACAAAAAGTCAGCGCCGTCTTGCTGGAGTAATTTTTTGGGTTTTTACCATTCTTTTTCAGCCCAACTCATCCTCAAATCTTTCCAAAACTCCTATACACTATAAATACATTCCAAAGACCTAATTTCAAGGGGTTGGATGGCTGAAGAGAAAGAGGCAAAGGAAACATCGATTGAGAGGAAATTCACCAGATTTGGAGAAGAAATCAAACAGCAAATTGAGTTTTTCTTATCTTTTTATTCTCCATACGATTTAATTTGTATTTTATTGTGTTTCTCTTCTCAATCATGAATTAAACTTTTAAATCTAGGGTTTGATGTATCATATTTGAGACGTGATTTAATTTCTTTATAGTATTTCCATTTAATTTTTCAGAATTGATTTGTATTGTTCTTGCTTAATACTTTCAGTTGTCTGATCACCAATTGAATGAATTAATGTTCTAAATTTGACGCTCGAGAGAGGAAAATTTAGGCGTGATCTAAGAACAATATAACTTAGATTTGTAGGTTTCGAGAGAAAGTGCGAATCTTTAAGGGTAAAACAAGAACCAAGTGCGTGATAATCTTTATATATTTAATTCAGAATAGAGATATTAGGGTTAAAATATAGAGATGTGTTCTATTTGACGCTTGAGAGGGGGAAATAGAATTAATTTAGGATTCTTGCCTATGAATTCTGGAAATAGTTGATGAAAATATCTATAGGGATTGAGAATTATGTCGAGAATACAGTGAAATCACTCCTTAGACATTACGTAATTTTGATTTAATCTTTAGAAATTGCCTCACTTTTATTGCATTATTTAAGTCATTGACATTAGTTTAGTATTCAAACATCAATTTAACACCTGATTGTCTAGATAAAGTAAACGCAGACACAATTATAGTACTCAGTGGAAGTCGAATATCAATCCCTGTGGGTTCGACACTTTTCAATTCTTTAATATACTACAAAACTTGACACCGTACGCTTGCAGTATAAAATCACGTTACATAAATCGCCTGGCACTCATTAATAGGAATATGCTCTGAACAGAAGTCAAATAATCAATAGGAACCAAAGATGGGAGTTGACCTTCATTTGCTTCGAAAAAACGTTAGAATGGAAGCAGATGTGCCATGCTGATACATACATACGACCATGATACAAAAACGACCTCTCAAGAGCACACGAATAGCTACGCTCAATGACCTGAAAAATATCTTCACCAATATTAGAAACTGAATTGGCCAATATGACAATCCAATCGGAAAGGCTAACTTTTTTCCAAATACTACTCAAAGCAGTCTAGAGAAGCAGATAACTAGGCTTATCCAAACTAAAAGTAAAAAATCATGCCTCGTCTGGAAGAAGATTAAATATTGTTTGCAGTGGCCCAGGTTTCAAATGAACAACCGTAGGTTCTTGTTTATCCACAATCCTCCTTCGATTATTAGAAAGAGCATAGATGTTCGCTCTACAAAAGAATAGTTTGCATCAGTTCAGGAAAATTGACAGCTTACTAGAAAAGTAATGACATCAATGGAAAAAATTGAAGGATGATTATTAGATTAACATACATTTTTGAAAATAGAAACTGCCTCCAGTAATAGATGCTAGCGTAATTAAAAATACTAATAATAGTTCATTCACCATATAGCACACTGAAGTAAGAATAGGATGGCCAACAATCACAACACCAAAGCTACAAGAAGGTGAAGATCCAATGATAAATTCAAAAATTTCAGAATTCCAGGAAAATAGAAATTCATTTTAAGATACAGCCAAATCAATCCATCATTTTGTATGATTTATTATTCTATGTAGTTAAAGATACTCATAAACTTGTACTTGCAACTAGTATCATGAATTACACAAAATATAAACAAAAATGGACAATGTGCAGGAATACTTGCTAAAAAGTTTTCATAAATTCACATGATCTCAGCTTCAATCTATAAATTCACTGTTATTCAAACCCCAAAAGGGAAAGGGAGCGAATTCTGCTACATGCTAGAACAATTAATTTCCGCTAAACCTGTAACTCCCCGAAAATTTTATTGAATGAAATTATTTGTTAGATGTTACGTTTTTATATTCTCAAAGTTGGGGGATCAAAGTGAAATAAGTATTAATTTTTATTCTTTTTCGGGTCAAATAATTAGATTTTGATAGAGCAAGTTTTAATATATCTATACTGGGCTGTTTTTAATTAGAATTCTTCGATTCGAGAAAAAGTTCATTTAGATAAATTAGGCCCAAGATATTTAAGTTTAAAAAAGTTGTTATTAGTTAGTATTTGATTAAATTGAATAGACTTCAAAAGAGTTGGCATCTACATGTATATTTAGAAAACATCTTTTTATTTGATTTGAAAAGTTTTAAGTGTAATATTGATTTGATTTTGATAAAGTTTTAGTAATCATAATTCTATTATATGAAACTAATTCTTATCCAAATTCTTTGTATTACACAGTTTTTCAATTCTTGTTATAAATTCAATTGAGAATTTCAACTATATATGCTACAATAATTTTCATTATCTCACCTTGAAAATAAAGATAGCCATGGCGGGGAAAGAGAAAAGGGGAGGAAAAAGTACAAAAAAATACCTTCGGTTTCGACCTAACAAAATGTGAACCCTATTGGTTCTTTATAACGGAATATGAACTTCTTTGAGAATTCAAATTGACTAATAATGAGTGTCTTGTTTGGTCATCGATATACTCCATGAGAAAATAGTGGGATGAAGTGTAGATTTTATTATTATATAATTGTCTATGAAAACTATACGTATTTGTATGCGTATTTTTAAATGCCCACTCTTACTATAATTTTGCATGTTAGTTCGGATTGATTGGATTTGTGACAAGATGATGATGTGAGCTGCCAAGTGGATTGAAAGAAAAATCAACATTAAGCTTTTCTATCCTCCAATTTATTTATTTGTTTAATTTGTTCAAAGACATGTTATTTAATTAGTTAGGTGATTTTTTTAGATATTATTTTAACGTTTTGGTTTAAATTTATGGATATTCCAGTCATTTTATTTTAAGAAATAATTTTTTAATCTTTTTGGCTCTTAACGTGGAGATAATTAAATTTTTGGTTACATTCCAGGGTTTATGAAAATTAGGGTTTACAGCTTGGTATCAGAGCGGTAAACTTTTTTTTATTAGTTTCATATAAATGAGTTTTAATAGGAATTTGCCAATTAGAAAAATATATTTTAACAGATCTTAGTTCCCACTTATTATTTTAGTTTTCTTAATTTGCATATTCGCATTATTGAAAAGTTTTATCAAAAAGACCAAAACTGTCTAAAAAGAGTTTGAGATTTAAGCTGTCTACTTGTGAGCCACTCCTCATCTGAAAGCCTTTTGGTTGTACATTATTCAAATAAACAAGACGAAAAACAATATTTCAAACCATTCCAAATTTAAGAAAATTATATTTTTAGAACTTCTATTTTGAGAAAATTATATTTTAGGAAATTTCAAATAAAAATAAAAATAAAGCATTTTCATAAGCATCAAAAGTTTAAGGACAATGTAAAATTTTTAAAGCCTTTAATTGAAATCATTAGCACGCGATGCTTACTATTCGATCACTCTCCGATTCATTCTAGCTATGAATTGAAACGTCATTCTTATAGCCTGACTATGGGTTTTCTTACATCATGTTATGTTATGAAATATTATAAGTATGTTAAGGCTAAGTATCCATAACTTTTCAACTAAGTAAGATAATTTTGAGGACGAAATTCTTTTTAAGAAGGGTAGATTGTATCACCTCGAAAATCTTATTCAATACAATTATTTGTTAGATGCTATGATTTTATATTTTGAAAATTGAGGGACTAAAGTGAAATAAGTATTAATTTTTAATTTTTTTTGAACAAATAATTAGATTTTGATAGAGGAAGTTTTAGTATATCAATACTAGGCTCTTTTTGTAATTGTAATTAATTAGAAGTCTTCTACTCGAGAAAAAGTTCATTCGAATAAGTTAGGCCAAAGATACTGAAGTGTAAAGAAGTTATCATTAGTATTTGGTTAAATTGAATATTAACTTTAAAGGGGTTGACAGCCATGTGTACATATAGAAAACATCTTATTATTTGATTTGAAAAGTTTAATTGTAGTCTTAACGTGATTTTGATAAAGTTTAATAGTAATCATAATTCTATTATTTGAAGCCAATTCTTATCCAAATTCTTTGTATTATACGATTTTCCAATTCTAGTTGCATACAAATTCAATTGAGAATTTCAACTAAAAATACTGTAAGAATTCCCATTATTTCACCATAGGAAAATGTATGAAAAAATAATAGGAGAATTTTACGTACAAGATTTTATTCTTTTCAACCTTTCAAAATCTAAGATACTTTTGTATGCATGAATTGCCAGTGGATCTCTAGGTTCGATCTAATGAAATGTGAACCCTATTGATTTCTTTATAATGGAATGTGAACTCCTTCGAGAATTCAAATTAACCAATAATGGGTGTCTCACTTGATTACCGATATATTCCATAAGAGAAGGGTGGTATGAAGTATAGATTTAATTATTATATAATTGTCTATGGAAACTGAACGTATTTTATTGGATATTTTTAAATACTCACTCTTGCAATAATTTTACAAGTTAGTTCGGGTCGATTAAATTTGTGACAAGATGGTGATGCGGGTTGCCGGGTGGATTGAAGAAAACATAAACATTAAGTTTTTCTGTCTTTCAATTTATTTATTAGTTTAATTTATTCAAAGACATGTTATTTAATAGTTAGGCGATTATATTTTTTTGTTCGTATGATTTTGGTTTAAATCTATGGATATTCCAGTCATTTTGTTTAAAAGAAATAATTTTTTTATTGTTCCTACTTTCAACGTGGAGATAATTGAATTTTTGGGTAACACTCCAAAGTTTGTGAAGATTGGGGTGTTACAAGAACTGAAAAACCTGCAGTATTGCATGTCAAACATTTTTAATATCTTGTGATCTTATCTTATATCAGGTGATATCAATGTCATCCCTACACTCTTAAACCACAAGATTCATGAATACAGGCCTTACAACAAAAAAGTACAATTTGTAAAATTTAACTCTCTTTGGATTGGCAGTCTGTGTAATCAAAATTTTGACTAAATTTTACAAGTATCATAGGAGCCATAAATTTTCTTATTCAGTTGAATAAAAATTAACTACACTAACAGATAGCAAGAAGAACAAAACTGAGACACTAAGCACTCGTACCAACAATATAGCACAAGTTGAAGGTTAAGAGTGCAAAGATCAACTCAACATTGCAACAAGCATTAAGTAATGATTCAAGAGAAATTTCGAAATATAAATCAAATAGAAACTTTTAAACCAATTTA